CTAAGCCAATCATACAAGGAGCTGGGATTTGATCTGACACTGTTACAAATTCCCTTTGCCTGCTTTCTTGCTAAGATTCCCTTTTCCTTTCAAGTTCAAGTTCTCTGATTTTTCTCTCTTTCTAATTCTAATTGGTTTTTTCTTTTTGTCTTTCCAATTCTAATTGGTTTTTCATAGCTAACTCCTTCAGTTTAAATTTGTATTCTAGTTTCCATCTTTCAAAATCTTGGGAGCTTTGGATATTTTCTCTCTCTGAGGCAATTATTACTGAGCCCTCAGTTTCTTCTTCACTTGGAATTTGAGGGTTCCCATTTCTCTCAGCATCCTGGAGCTCAACCTGTGCCTCCATAACTAACTTTTTACTTCATTTGGGCAGCATAAACAACACAATTCCTAATTACTAGACTGCTTCTTTTCCCTCACCAGAGCCAAAAGGATATTTCTTTCAGTGGCTTTCCTTATAAATAGGTTGTGCTTTTCCAAGCCTCACCTTGGCTTCCCAAGCACACAACCCTTGCCATAGTATTTTTCTGTCTGGATGATTCTTGTCTCCAGACACAAGAACAACTTTCTGCTTAGCTCTTCTTTACTTTTAGCTTTTATTATCACCTCAGATCTATTCTGACTTAGGCTTCTACTCCATCTGCTACTGCTCATTACCCTCAGAGCTATGGATTTTGAGCTAGCCACTTGTACTTGTAAATCCTGAGGTAAATGATTTATCTTGAGTAGGTATTTTCCCTATCTTAGGATTCTCCACATCTGGGTTGAGAAGCTCCGAAACTAAGTCTTCCACAAGACTCTAATAGGTAACCACTTCTTATCACAGGTCCTAACCCATTCTAGCTAGGAATACCTTTAAACTCAAGTGCATTCAGTTTTTCACTGGATTGTTTTGTATTCCAGCACTGCACCACCAATTTCTCAGATTCCTGCCTGTCCCTTGGTTGTTTCACCAATCACAGGGCACAAGCTACATATCATGTCACTGCCAACAGTTGATTACATCAACATTATGTATTATTAATAATAGAGGTCCAGGCAATGTGTCATTTTAAAAGGAACCAAATAGAAGTTGTTTATTATTACAAGTGATGAAGGTACAATCAATATCTTTAACTCTTAACCAAATAGCCCACTTCATCCACCCTCAACCGCCAACCCTTTCTGTATCCACCCCAAACTCCAAACTCTCCCACTCTCAATCTCTCAAAACTCCAATCTAAACGCCTCCTCCTCCTGAAAAGAATCTTATATCTCATGACTCCGCCTCTCCAGCAATCTCATTGTTCCATGCATATAGCACATTAATATTCATGACCTGGGCGGATGCCACAGCTACTTAAAATCAGGGCAAAAGTTATGCTCAAATGTGAATAGATAGTTTGCTTATCTCACTCTAGGTTAAAAATGAGTTTGCTTTTGGTTCAGTATGTTTGCAGATTTAACTTGTTTGTTTGCATGTTTTACTTGCTTGATTAAACAAAGCAGCTTAACCATCCCACTAAAGTTAAGCTTTGAAGAAGATTGGTTTTCTTAGGGAGAAATTCACCATCATAAGCAGATCATATTGTGATCTGCTTATGATGTAAGTGATCTGCTTACAAAAGGTTGCACTCTGTGGTTCAGTCCTGCAAGAGGTTCATGCAATTGTTATGTGCTGTCAAATTGCCTTGTAATATCCCAAATATCTTGTCATTAACAGTTCTGCACAACTCATGCAGACTCAAGGCATGCCTTTCTTTATTGAGTAAATCCATCTCATGTTTCATCTTCCTCTTCTCTTGCTGCCTTCAACTTTCTTAGCATTATTGTCTTTTCCAAGGAATCCTATTGTCTCATGATGCACCCAAAGTACGACACTTTCCATTTCAGATTTTTATTTTTTATTTTTTATTTTTGCTTCAGAAAGAGTTCAGACTTGGTTTGATCCAGGAGCACTTATCTATACTTCTGGCTGTAGTAGCCACAAAGCTCTCCTGCAGCATCAAATTATGAACAAATACATATTTTTCCTGTTGGCTCTCTTCACTGTCCAGATTTTGTATCTGTACATAGTAATTGGAAATAAAATAATGTGAATGATCTTGGCCTTGTTCTCACATCCTTCTATATGAGAATCTTTTCTGGTTCCTTTATAGCTGCCCTTACAAGTCTCAGTCTTCTGCTTTCTTTGTTGCAGTCTTCACTTGGACTCATGTCATGTTATCTCATGTCATGTCAGGTCATGGTTTAAGCAGAGGAGTCCTTCAGCAAGGAGGAGCCTGTGGAATTGGACATTCCAAAGCTTGATGGGATGGAGAATCTTCTTGACCCTGGAGATCCAAGAGAACCATGAGCTGTTCTCGAGTCTCACTGTTTCTCGACTCTCAAGGGCACTGGAGACTGAGTCCTATAGATGACAGGAGCTCAGGAACTAAGTCCAAAGTGGAGGTGGGATGACTTCCCATCCCTTGAAGCAAATAAGAAATATTTTTTAAAAAATGAAGGCATGGCTCCAGTTTAAAGTCCCAGTACAAAGTGTTTGGACAAGGAGGTCTCTTTGTGAGTAAGTGGTCTTCTCATGAGTGGGCTCTTTCTCCCAGGGAGTGTCAGGAGCCAAACTCCGCAGCTAGGTTCTTCCCTTCCCACCTGAACACTTGCAGCTACCTGGGGCTCCAGCAGCACAGTTAGAACTCTACAAGCTGGTGGGAGCAGCTTGTCTGTAGTTTTTATCTTTCTGTGCCTGAATTCTTTGCTCTGGATTGCCTGGACCTTGTTTGACCATTTGGGCTGTTTTTGGACTACAACTTTACACTACCCTGGTTGAGTGTTGCCTACAGTGAGCTTTATTGTTACTGCTTCTTCTACCTCATCCTTTCACTCATCTGTGACTTTATTGTTTTGCAGCTTTACTTGCTTCACCCTAGTTTTATAAAAATAAAATTAAAAAGCAAGGCTGCAACAACATGGGTAAGCTTAAATTACTCTGATTCAGTTTGCTGTAATTTTTTTCACAGCCTTTATTACAGATGATTGGCATTCACTGATCACACGGGGGCTGCGGATTGATTCAGGAGTTCAGTGTTCACATTCAATGTGATGTGACTTGCATTTCAGCCCAAAGTCCCCCTTCCTTCCTTCTTTATTTCCTTCCTCTGTTCCCACCTCTGCCAAATCTTTTAAGGTTTCCTGTCAAGTCATTTGGTTTTCAAAGGGGTGTACAGAGTTCTGGAAGGGGTGACAGCATTCCAAAGTTCTTTTAATGTGTACAGAAATACCACATACCATGAGAACATCTTTTATTTCATCTGGGTGTTCCTTTTTTATTCATAATTTTTAAAATAACCAAAACATGCTCATCCAGAGTGATCTATAGGTAAACTACTATATCAGTACTAGCGATAAGGTGATAAAGTTATATAGCTAAACCCATTTAAAATCTTAGATATGCAAATAAATATTTAAAATTCAGAAGATGATCAAGGGAGAGAACACAGGGGGCTGGAGGGAAGACTGTGTTCCCACGGTCCTGAACATCTTGCCCTAACTGCTGACATCACTTAAATACCACATACAGACATGCCCCCTTGTCTTTACAAGAACAAACCAATTGATTACACAGGAAAAACTCAGTTCTAATTGTTCTGCCTTGAAAAGAGTAGAAGCCCTCAGCAGCAGAGGAAAATGGTTGTTGTGGGTTTTTCGGGCTCTTTGACCGTGTTCTGAAGGTTGTTCTTCCTAACGTTTCGCCAGTCTCTGTGGCCGGCATCTTCAGAGGACAGCACCGAAAAACCCACAACAACCATTAGATCCCGGCCATGAAAGCCTTCGCAAATAGCAGAGAAAAACTCCACGTCAGGAGCAAAAAGGGGCTGGATCAATTCAAATAAACCTTGGCACTGTGTGATCAGTAATATATATATATATATATATATCAATTCATCCATTTTATAAGTGGAGCAAATCCCATAGTATTTGACCCTTGTAGCCTAAACTCTGGAACCACAGTTGTCTCTAAGAATGGAAAGAGTAATGCAGGCCCTTCCAGCTCTGGAAAGAGAGCTGTTTGGTGAATTCTGCTGGTTCTCTCCTCTCCTTGCTTCTTCTATAACGCCACCTCCCACACTATTCCAGATAGTCACCCCATACCTTTTGGGACACTTTTTGAGGGGACTTGGAAAGTGCTGCGAAAGAGGGAAACTCAAGAAAACCACCATTTTACTGTTTTTTTCTAGCAGAATTCTGGAAAACTCTAGATTCTAGGGCTCTACATTTTAGCCTTATTTCTTGAACATAAAAATGGAATCAAGGCAATAGGTATTCAAAGGATTTATGTTGCATTTTGTGATTAGGACATCAGCCTCAATTCATCACTTTTGTGGTGAGGGTGCTTGGTTTATGTAGAACTGCAGTAGTTTAGGCATCTGGTGGCAGAGCCAGAGGTTGGGAGTTTGATTCCCCACCATGCCAGGGGCTGGACTGGATGATTTTGCCTCCTTGCCAGGGGCTGGACTGGATGATTTATAGCAATAGTTTCCAGGTGTTCTTGGATTGCAACTCCCAGAAACCCCAGCCAGTGGTGACGGCTCCTGAGAGTTGCAGTCCAAGAACGCTTGGGTTACCCAAGGCTGGGATCCACTGATCCATAGGGGCCCTTCCAGCTCTCTGCAGTTCTACGAGGAGGAGGAGGAAAGGATAAAAGAAACTCTTCTTTCATGCTTTGTGCAGGCTTTTCCAGAGCTGAAGAAGCTCCCGTCTCTTCGCCCATCTTCAGAGAGGTTCGTCCCTGTGGAAGAGGCGCCCGCACCTACGACTCATCGCCCGACCAGCTGGGCCTCCTCCCTGGGAGCCCCGCTCGAGGAGAGGCGCCCACCTCACGTTGGGGCGAGAGCGTTCAGGCGTGATTTCGCAGGACCCTCCTGAGGCGTTTGCGAGGCTGCAGCCGAACAGGGCGAAGGAAGGACCCCTTCGAACTGCTGCTGCTCTTTCTCCTTCGACGGGGTGTGTGTTATGATTACAGCCTTTTCCCTGCCGCAATTTACAGCGACCTGTGAAGGAGGCCCGGGGGAATTGGCAGCGGCGCCCCGTCGGGGAGAAGCGAGCGGACGGGACGCGGGGCGACGAGTGGGGGGCGGGTTGGACCTGTGGAGCCGGCCGCTGCCTCTCTTTTTCCCAAACGGAGCAAGAGAGAAGAGGAGGGGCAAAGACTAGTCGTGTGAGTTCAGGCCGGTCAAGACGGGGGGGAAACTCCAAAAGCCTTTGAGGCAACTGAAGCCACCGAGGAGGGGAGGGGGGGCAGAGAGAGAGAGAGAGAGAGAGAAAGAGGCGGGGAGGCTTGGTCTTCCACCGAGAGCGCCATCCTTCCTCTATTGATCAGAAACTCCTGGGCGCCCAACATGAAACTTCAGTGAAGGAGTTCTGTGAAGTAGGAACAAACTTTCTTCCCCCCAACCCGCCAGCAGCTTTGTCTGTCGCGTGCCAACATGAAAGGTAAGCTGCAGACAACAGGCATGGGGGGCTGTTTCGGAAAGTCTCTCCGAAGAACCGGGTCGGCTGTTAAAGAGAGCAGGAGTCTTGTCAGCGGAGAACATGTGGCGCTCGCGGCCGGGGAGATCTTTTTTTTTCTTTTTTTCTTTTGCTGGGGAGCGGGCGACTGTGTGTGTGTGTGTGTTTATGTACGCAAAACTGAAGCGGCATTCGTCCACCAGCTTCTCTTTTAGTCCGCTAGGAATGAAAGCTGCCATTTGTTTTTAAGAAAAGTCAAGAGTTGAAAGTTGTTTACAGGTCCCTTTAAATTTTTTATTTTATTTTAATTGGAAAAATCTGCTCAGGAGATTGAACTACTCACCCACACAGCCATTTTTGCTTCCTCCAGCACATATTTCTTGACCACCTCTCTCTCAATCTTTCTCTTTTTGAAAACCTTTTTCCTTCAGACTGCAGTTTTTCAGAGAGAGAGAGAGAGAGCGGGCGGGCGGGGGGCCTGCCAGCATTTCGTGATGTTCTCCGTGTTGCTTCTAGACATCTGGTAATGATTAGGTTCCAGTAGAGGCTTAACTGGCTTGTGAAATATATTTGGCATTTTTCTTCTCCCTTCAGGATCTGTAGACTGGAAAAAAATATTTGGTATTTGGATAGCATGTGTTGAAAGCTGGAATGTCAAGTCGTTTGCTTTCGGATCACTCTTTGCCATGAAGTCGTTCTGTTGGGTTCCATCCTTTGTGACCACAAAGTGCCATTTAACAAATGAGAAGAGGATCTCCAGCTCAGCATGGCTGTGGCTGGATAAAAGTAGTAGTTGTAATGTGGAGAGGTTTTTGTTTTTTGTTTTTTTTGAAAAGTAGTGAAAACTAGAAGCCTGGAGAAAGCTCAAAGCTCTGTACACCAGGGAATATGCATCAAAGGAGATGTTTTGGAACACATAGGAAGCAATTGTGGACTTGCAACTCAAGATTTTTTTGTAGTCACAGAAATAAATTAAGTAGAAAATACATATACCCTTTAAAGAAACTATGAGCAAGTAACAGTCTGGAGCTTGCAATGTGTGTGTTCTAGACATCGGGAGAGTTGTAATTATTGTGATACATGTTTCTTGAGACAACAGAACATTATGTGATGCCTGATTTAATTTGCTGAAGAGGCAGAAAGTACTTTGTTTGACTGACCCCCACTCTCATGGGAAAATTAGTTCTGACTGTGGCAAGGACTGTGCAGAACTCTAGAGATTGTTAGCAATTAAATTGAGTTCATCTGTAGAGCCATAAGGGTTTGCATGTTTTTCATCCTGTGAGCTAGCACTACCCCAGTTGAGGTAGTGGCAGTAACAGCTGGAAAACAATGCATAAAATGTGAGTCTTAAGACCATTCCATGAGTTTCATATTTGGGAAAGGAAAAGAGGAGGATGTTACATGCATATGTCATATTTGAAATAGTGAAGCATACTAATATGAAGATGAATTTTACACTGATTCATGCATCTGTGTATAATGCCAGTCACATGGTTACTATCACATGATACACATTTTGTGCACAGATTATCCGTGTCCGTGACTTGTACCATTTTTATGTGATAGTTTGCATACATTCTATGCTGACCCATGGTGTAAGTTGCAGCCATTGTAGGGAAAGCCAAATTGTTTAATTAGTTCCAAAGGTGTGGTTTCTGTCTTGTTAGTGGTCATTTTGTGATAGTCATGGCCAGCATATATGCATGTTTGCTCAAAATAAGTAAACCCCACAGAGTTCAAGATGACTTACTTCTAAAAAAGTTTGCACAGCATAGCAGCTCTTGTGAAATTTTGCCTTCTGATAAAGTTAATGAATGGTATATTTCTAGGGAGAACTGGAGCTTTTAATTTTTCAATGTTGGGGGTCCTGCTAAGCTAGTAATTGTGGTTTTGTTAATGTAGGATTGTAGTATGTTCTCAGTCACTCCTAGGGGCCATAATTACTTTGTTTTCTGCAAGGCATTTCACAATCATTTTGGAGTGTTTTCCCAGAAATTCATAAGCGTCTAGTAAAACAAAGTCTGAAAATTATAGTGTTTGTGAAAGAAAACATTCTTCACTGAAAATCCCAACTATAGTGGTAATGCAAGCATTAGGAAGATCATGTAAATAGTGCCAAAGTCAATTTCAAATTTTGTAATTTTACTGGTTGCATCTTTACCACACAAATCTAGCTTTCTGTACTTTTTAAATCCCCTGCTGATGTAAACCTTGAACCTTTTTCAGAAGTGTTCCTTTCATGAGGAGCAACAGGACTGACTTACCACATGCAGCAAATATCTGTCTCTATTCCCGCATCAGCTTACCCCAGAGACCTCAAGACTGTCAAAATAATTACATCATTAGAAAGCTGCAAAAACACAAAATGTTTTCCATTGCTTGAATTTAAATGTTGTGTATCAGATCACTGGAATCAAATTTCTGAGAAGACTTGCTGTGGGGCTGGCCCAAGATATTTTACTGCTCAAGGCAAAGAACATGACAGCACCTTCTCCCTGTTCCTTTCCTACTAACTGCCATAACATCTGGCTTCTCCCTGTAGAAGCCAGATGTTATGGCAGTTAGTAGGAAAGGACATGTGGCACACACAGCTCTGACAGATGGCAGTGGCTGGTAGACTCAAGAGGAACAGCTTAGTAATTGCAGCAGCACACATAACTCACCGGCAATTCCCTTACTCTGTCTCATGGTAGAACCAGCCTTGCCTAGCAGCCACACTACTTACAGTGGGCCAAGCAGTTCAGTGGGTCACGAAAAGATTAGTATTATTTATGAAACATTACACTCTGGAGCTCCAGTCATTTTAGGACAGATATTGGCACATCCATGTAAGATCCATGGGTCACTGTTAAATGTGTTATGCACATGCATTCACAGGAATGTATCCTGCTGAGTTTCAACAGCTTTGTTGCCAAATTCCAACCTCACCCCCCTCCATTCCAACTTATTTTCATATAAGGCTGACTTATTAAAAAAGGCTTGACATTTTTTGAATGGAAAGATTATCATACTCTTCTTGGCTCCTTGCATGGTATTTCTTGCAGCTCTGTTCTGGATCAGGGCCAAGGTTTCAGTAGCCATTTTTTTGTGGGAAAGGCTTAACCTGTTATATTGCAAATTTGTAGACTATTAAGGGTATTATAATGGAAGTGACCTAGAAACCTGAGCTTCATCGTATCTATTCCAAAGACTTGTTAAATGGAATATTTGAACAAGTAACTGTAAAGCTGTGATGCAGCTGTCCACCTCCATGACGCACGACAGGTATTATGCTGAAACATTTCTAACAAGTACTTTAACATTTGTTTCAGAATGCGAAAGAAAGTTCTGGATTCCTTCTTCATACAACATTTTTACCAGCCTGCTCTCTGTTAGGTTCCCCTATGTTCAAATCTTAATATATTTTCCTGTAACTTAAATCTCCTTGCCTTAGTTTCAAAAACCCATTGTCTTTTCTCTGTAATCTCTTAAAATATTTGGAAGCTGGCATATTTTTAGCTAGTGTGTCACTAGCTCAGTCTGTGGTTTTCATTTCTCCCCAGAAATGCAGTGATTCAAAATCTTATTGTCATTAGGGTCTCTTAGTTGGGACACAACCTTCTTATGGAAAGTACGTATCAACATGCTTTTGAGTAGGGTCCAAATATTTATTTGAAAACAACTGCACACACAAAATCCATGAAACCTAATAGTAAATGCCTTGTAGTGTAGTTATAATTGCTCTAAAGACCTGGTCAGATGTTATCAATTCATTATGAAGTGGTAATCAGATTGAAAGCAGGGCTGATTCAGGGGGACCCAAAGTACAGGTAAATATGATCTTGGGTCTTAGAATAAACCTTAGAACTGTAGAGCTGGAAGGGACCCTGTGGATCACTGAGTCCATCCCCCATCAAGGAGGAACAGCGAGGAATTGAATTCTCAACCTCTGGCGCCTTAGCCAGGAACCTAGCCACTGAGCTGTCCAGCACTTCAATACACCACCAAATGTCAGTTTACACTCAGCCTATTCACTCACAGTTGAGAACTCTTAGGTTGTCACATATGAGGCAAAGGCTCTTTTCTTAGTGACCCAATACCTCAAAACAATAGCCACCTTGATAGGCTTCTAGGAAGCCTTCAAAAACTTGCCTCAATAGCATGTTTTAGTCTATGCTCTTGGATTGTTCTTGCCTTTTACATGTAATTACTGTATATGTTAGATTTCAGTACCTGGACATTTGTGGGCTTTGCTGGTGTTTCTTGATTTCATTATTTTCTCTCTTGATTAGTGTATGGGAGGTTATTATATAAGTAGCCTTGGGAGAGCTTTTGCCCTGAAAGGTGGCCTAGAAATGTTTTAAATAAATAAGTATTAGTGAATTATAGGAACAGGAGATCTGTACTGACTTGAAAAGCACTGCTTTTCTTGCCTATTTGAGGATGTAAGCCCCTATTCTTCCACTGAGAATGGTTGAATTCACTGAGTCAGAACTAGAGCTGGCAGGTCCTATGGAGCCTTTGAGTAGAAAAAAAAGGGGTGACCCCCACTCCCCCAAAAGAGGAGACATAACCTTGGACAGGGGGAGAGCCCCAGGAGTAGCACAGGACAAAAGCATAGGTGAAGCTGAAGGCTACCTAGCAAAATCCTCACCTGTATCAGAGAACTCTTTGGGAACAGGGGCCTTATTAGCATAAGGGGTCACCTAGAGAGACTTTTGCTAAAATGTTCCAGCTGAGCCTACAGTGAAGGCCCAGACAGTTCAGCTACAAAATTTCAGTTCAGAACTCCATGAGCTGCATGAAACCGTCTGGCTAAGTCATATTTGTTGATCACAGTCAACAGTCTTAATCATGATTAGCAGATTTCATTATTTAGTGCTAATAGTGATGTACATATTTTCCTTATTTATTGCCACATAGAATTGACCCTGTGGAAGAATGTATTACAGTATCTCATTTCTTCATGTAACGGTCTTTATTCTATTTCCGTAACACTCATA